CGTTAGACTACGTTACCGAAGCATCCCCTTACCAGAGCGGGAGCAGAAATGTGCTCCTAGTTATTATTTACACAATATAAAGTGCATCATGATTTAATTATTGAACTGACAGACTTTCTGCCGGGACCATACAATTTTGAAACAGAGGTGAGGGCTTGAATAGGAAATTCTCTCGTGAGAAAAAGAGGTTCAGACCGGTGCTCTTCACCCTGTCCTCCTAAGGATTGTTTTTGGCCGTTCTTTCTAGTGCAAATAAGCTTGTGTTTTCTCAAGTTTAAGGGACGTGGCAGTTTCGGGGCATCAGGAACGAACGTTTAAAACGCATTAGGGATTCGGCGTTCCCGAACATCTCGACGGGCCCTTCCGCGGGCGAGCGGCCCGCGCGATCGCCGCTCTCGGAAGCCGGAGATGCGCTGCCAAAAAGAACAAGGAACCCGTTTCCAGATCTCGCCGTTCAAGTCTTGCATTGCTACGCTTCGAGCGAACCCGTCCAACCCTCCGACGACAAGATCTGCAAACATCGGCGCTTTCCGTCGCGGTGGAAACCCGTGGCTAGCTGTTGAGCCGTGGGCGATCGGCTACCAACGCGAAGATCCCGATCCAATTTTGGATACTAAGGTGCATCCCGTGCCCAGGGAGTAAATACATTACTGGATCCTACGGGATACCTGCGTGCCGGAACCGAGCCCGAGCCGGTAGCCAGCAGACGCGGAATTCCCGGGTGATATTTACAATAAACTATCGCCATCGGAAGGCCAATTCGTTAAGAAAAGATAAAGGGCCGGGGGGGGTGTTAAAAAAAAAGGCAGCAATAAGGAAAGCCATCACGCATCTTTTTTTTTTTTTCTTTTAAAATGGTGAAGAAAATATCCCTTTCCGATCGCTCTGCCCGTCGCAAGTAGTTTCCTCACCAGGGAACACAGGGAAGGCATGATCCCGTACAACGCACGCGGTCGCTCGGGCTCATTCCAACGTAGGAGCTTTTACGATCCCTTGAGGCAAAGGTAGGCTGGGACGGGGAGATGTCAAGGTCATCGGGGAGGAATGCCACGTAGAAACGGGAAGGGGAAGGAAAGCGTAAAAAGTTTGTACATTCATAGCTCCGCTTTGTTGGAATATAAGTTAATTTTCTACTCCAGGCACTGTGACGGGCAGCAGCAGTCAGCGATACGCTAACGTACGCATCAAGGACTCATTCATTAATTTCCGGTTTCACACCAATAATAGGATGGAGAGTTATTTTAACGTTGGTTTTGTTGGTTTTTTTCATTGACCTGTTCAAACCTTTGGGACCAAAGCCCTAAGAGGGACGATGAACCAGTACCCCCTTTACCCCCCTGCTGATTCATCACGGTCCGCTAGATGTTCAAGCGGTGGAGCGAGAACACCTCTCCGAGAGCTGACAAAGTACCTGAAAGAGCGATCTGCGCAGAGACGGACGGGAGTTTTTGACACTAAGCCGAAGGCTTGGTTGCTGTAACTGCTATGTGTGGTTTTACCTAAAGGGGGAATCACCTAAAACAGTGAAATTAACTTTCTTACTTCTTGTCACAACCGTAACATTTTTCCTAAAGGTTCTTTGGTGACTTTGGTGCAAGCTTTTATTTTTTTTTCTTTTTTTTTTCTTTTTTTTTTTTTAAAGTTAAAACAGATCGACTAGTTTTAGTACCCAAACTAAAGTCCAGATTATCCTCTTGGTTCCCACCCCTGCCTCCCCAAGTTTTCTCGTTATGGTTAATGACGTTAACGGGTAATAGCGTTCGGATTGAGCGTGGCCGTGCAGCGTGCAGGTGGGTCCGGACTAAGAGCGATGAACGGTCTAGTTGGAGGTAAATAAGTTCCTCGAGAGATTAAAAAAACAAACAAACAAACAAACATATAATGGTCGCACGGAAAAACAGCCGGTCCACGTGCGCACTAGGCCGCTCTGTAAAAAACCGATTCAAACCATTCTAAATATCTGATTAGAGATGTTATTGGAAGTACCTGGAGCTCAATCAAACTCCCGCTGGTTTCAGGGGGGAAGGAGCCGGTCGCCCAGGGGCCGGACAAGCCCCTTTCGTTGTAAGTATTCACGTTTTAAGGAACGACAAAGAATTTTCAAGATCTTTCATCAACCTCCTAAACAGGTCATGGTAGATGTTTTCCCTCCAGGCAAAGAGTTTACATCGCGAGATGTAAAATTTACGTTATGGAGCGGGACGACGCTGAAACCTGGTGGCGGGCGAGGGGGGATGGAAGCTCTGAGCGGCGGGAAGGGGGTGACGGCAGGGCACGGGTAGCATCTCCTGACGACAACAACAACGCCTGCCGACTCAACGCGACGGAGAACCCGACCACGGCTTCCGAAACACGCTACGGGTGAGCGTGAGAGATGCCTTTTTCTACGAACGTAACGGTGCACCGAACCCCCCAAAGGTCTTTCTCGCGGCGGGAGGAGAAAAACGCCCGGGTGTTTTGCTTCCCACGGGTAACATCGCGACCGTTTGGGAGAGAAGCCCGGAGCCTCGGTCGCGGCGATCCCTCCACCTCCGAATACCCGCTCCGCAGCCGCCTGCTGGAACCCGTAACACCCCTCATACAAAAATACCTTTTGAAATTTTGGACAAATGCATTAAAAAATTAAAAAAAAAAAAACCAACAAAAAACCATCAGCCTGGCACGGGCAGAACAGGTAGATGAGGAGCGGGTTAGTATGCATCGCCGTTAATTCAGAAGGCTTAGCACTCGAGCAGAGCTTCGCTATCCTGGGATACTCGGGTTATTCGGTCAGTACAAAACTACGAAATGAGTAACAAATCTTGGGCTCTTCGCCAGCACGTTATAAAGGTCTGACCAGTTACTGAGGTTCTACCCGCACAGAACATCGTTTCAGACTCGGTGACCGGCAGATGCCAATTTTAAAACCTCTGCCTCTCCTCAAACACGCACCAGCAATTCACGCAAGGTGGGGTTTTGTGGAAAATGCCCTACGGCTACGCTGCTCGGCCTTTTGACCGAGCACAGGCAGAATTCAATCCCGGAAAACCCGTCATAAGCAGAAACCGATAAATTTCAGCATAAGGTTTGGGGTTTGGGTTGTTTGTTTTTTTTTTTTGTATCCCGTTGAAGTGCAACACAAGCCTTATCTAGACTATTTAAAGGTCAGAGTGCCGGATTATTTTTTTTTGCGCCGATACGCGCACTTCCATAGTCTTCCACACTCGAAGCAGCTGACTCTTACGGACTCGGGAGGTTGGTACTTTCATGAGACATACAGAGATGTTTTGGGCGTAATTTAACGTGATAACCAGACTCCTATAACGTTACGTACTGGAGTTAGCAAGAACTACCGGAAAAAGGACTTTACAAAAAAATGGGGCAACTTGAAATGACTACAGGTCAGTCCCTCTCACCAATTTCTGCTTGTTTTGCTTTGTTTACTTTGCCAGACGGCCGGTCCAATGCACTCTATTCGAGACCCTCTTGCTCTTCACCACTGTCCCCTCTGGCATCCATTCTTTTTTCTTTATGGCTGTTGTAAATTCTCCTCATCTCTTCTTCGTACTTGATAAAATTTTCCCCGAACCGTGTCCACGCTTTGTACGGAACCGTGATGGTGTTACGGTAGGGCGGCCTCACCTCACTTACCTTCAGGAAAATGCCGTACCTGTTGGATCCCACGTCGAAGTAGAAACGCTTGTTGTCCACTCGGAAGGAGGTGCCCTCGGGGAGCTCCGGGGGCTCGTCGCCTCCCCCCCGGCGATCCTCTATGTCCCCCTCGCCGTACTCTTCGATCAGCTGGACCAAAGCATCCCTGAACTCAATCATCCCTTGCGCCGGAAGGACGATTGTCTGCTCCTGTCCCAAGCTGTGGCCAAAATAACCCATCATGCCAGGTCCCCTACTCATGGTTTGTCTAATCCGCAAGAAGCGCCCTCGCTGGTTCTCCTTCAGGTCCAGGTAATACTTCCTGTTGTCCCTCTCGATGTACTCCGTTTTGAGGACGCTGTGAGGGTGCTCTTCAGAGCCGACAGACACCGGGGGCGAAGGCGGCGGGAGCTGCTGTCGCCTCCGGGGATGCTGCTCTTTGCCATTGCTGTGCTCGTGCCGGTGGCCGTGGCCGCCTTTCAGGCCCAGGTGGGCGTAGTGTTCGATGAAGTCCCCCAGGCAGTCCTTCAGCTCGGCGGCCACGGACAAGGAGAGGGTCAGCTTGCTTTTCCTGATATTGTCCTGCCTGCCTCTTCCTATCCAGACCTCGGCGATCTTCAGGAAGCGGCCGCGGGAGCTCTGTTTCACATCCAGATAAAACCGCTTTTTCTGGATGTCCACCCTCTTGGAGGCCAGCTCCTGGATCTCCATGCAGCCCCCCTGGGAGGAGGCCGGGTAATGGTACTGCTGCTGGGACTGGGAATAAATGCTCCTGTGCAGGCCGGAGCCTCCCAGGTTCCTTCCTCCTCCTCCTCCTCCTCCTCCTCCTCTCCCTCTTTCCATCTTTACCAATCAGCTGGAAATAATACATAACAGAGACACAGATGACAACATCAGCATCAGGGGCCTGCTCGGCTTCTCGGCGGCGTCTCTGATCGGCGCTGCTCTCCCTACAAAGACGCCTGCATCCCTCGCCGCTGCCACGGCACGCAGCATCGCAGCAAAAGGAGCCCGGGCGTTCTTCCCCTCCCCTGCTCCGGCTCCC